AAAAAAAAAAAAAAAAAAAAAACGTGGAAGTAGTAAAGATAAGTACTACTCAAGTAGCCGTCCTTGGGCCATTTGTTACTGGTCTGCAACCAGAGAAGAAACTTAGGCCAGAATGTAAATGAGTACACTGGTTCCTTCATTGAGAAGGTCTTACTCTGAAAAAACTATAACCTAAGTTAAAGCTTAGTGATATAGTTGATTTATGTCCTGGTTCAGAAGAGTAACAAACAGTGCTAGACTACACTCTGAGTAACATGGTATAGAATGCATTCTCTGATTATAATAAAAGTAGAAGTTAATAGGAAAAAAATTTACCACTCTACCCACCTAGAGATTTTACACCTAATCTCAAATCTCAAGTTAAAGGCAACGAAAAACTATGTGTCCAAATCTATGGCCTGTGACTAAAGTGCATATATATATATATATATATATATATATAGAGAGAGAGAGAGAGAGAGAGAGAGAGAGAGGGAGGGAGAAAGAGAGAGAGATTTAATTTCTAAGGAAAGAAAACTCTTACTATAAGCTAGAAAGCTCAAGTCCCAATTGCTGAGTATTTTTTCCTCTCTTTCCTTCCCCTTTTGTCCGTTTCTCTGCTACCTCTAAACTGCTTTTCTTTTTTAACTCAACTTCTGTTGACTATCTATGAGCAGATAGTTTTATTTCTCAGTTTTGTTTCTTTTATTTTAAAGATTTAAAGATCGAATGTCTCCGGGAGAGTCAAGAGTTGAATTTGCAAAAATTAAGGAATTCAGAACGCATACTTACTGAAGCTAAACAAAAAATGAGAGAACTTACAATTAACATCAAGATGAAGGAAGATCTGATTAAAGAATTAATAAAAACAGGTAATAGTATCCTGTAAACCAGCTTATGTGAGGAAAAAAGCTTCTAAAATTGCTTCTGATGTGGTAACATTTAGTTTTTGAAGCTCAAAACTATCTCCTGTAGCTTGGATTTGGTATAACAAGGTTTGTGTTACAGCCAATGTGTAAAGGTTAGTTATCAAAAAAACTTTGTAATGTTGGGATTTCATCTATGAGTTGTTCTAAGCAGTGTAAAACTGTGTTACACTGAAACTCTACAGCACTTAACATTTTTTTTTTTTTTGCCATTTTTAAAGAAGCTTTATACTTGGCATCTAGGAATATGAGATTTTTTTTCTAGCTCATTTTAATATTTATTTATTTTAAATTATTCTTCATTTCCTTAGCTTATTTTTAACATCAGTTATAAACTTTAGATGTAGATTTTTTTATTTCCCTAAAGATGTAAGGATTTGTTTTGAGAGCTGTTCTCTTAAGTGAGCCAGATTTTTAGCTTTTGACCCCTACATCTCAAATCCTGGCACATTGGGAGTATCTACCACTTCCTGTCCTCATCCTTAGCTAGATTAGGCTTGCCTTAGAAGGGTATCTCAGGCTTTTTGGTTTCTTCCCCCTCAGTATGCTTAAAGTATGAGCTTTGACTACTTTGAAATCTGGTATAGAACTGAAGGAATAAGAGCCACTAGCATTTCTTTTCCCCAACCCTATAAAAAACAATTAAAATTTTTTAATTTTATTAAAAAACTACAAGATTTTCTGTATAACAATAAAGTAAACTGCATAACAGCATTATAAATGGTCCTTGGTGATTATTCATCCCCGGAGCTCTAGACTATTTTCTACTGCCATGAATTTGTTAGTCTAGTTCAGAGACGGTTGCCTATTCAAAGCAAATCAAAACCAAGTTTTTAGGGTCAGTAGCTGAGCTTAGAATGAAAAAATATATAGAAATATCTATATTCTACTTTTTCTATGTTGTAAATATACTAAGAAAAGCATTTAAAAAGAATTCCTCTTTAACATGTTCACTGTAATGGTAAAGGAGAAGGTCAGCTCTAAATGAAAAGATACTTAAGAGGTAAAACAATCAGATGTATTGTGGACCTTGTTTGGATCTTTATTAAAATAAACTAATTGGAAAAGACATTTTGAGACAACTAAGGAAGGCTGAATATTGGCCTTTTGCTTATGTCCATGTTTTGTATAGATGCTTATTGAATACATACTTCAATAAGTATGTATAGGTGAGATGATATGACATCTGGGATTGCTTTATAACATTTAAGCACAGTAAAATAAAAGAAGGCTTTTTTTTTTTTTT